ACTTAGGAGGATGAGTGGCTTAGAGAGTATATTAAACAACTTAGAACATGGCACATTTGGTGGCAGACCACCCAATTTTTAGGTGAGCAAACTGATAGGAACAGATTGTCTTAAATTAAGTTGACAATTAATATGTGGTTGTTTATCCCTTGCTTTCAATAACCACATCAAGCTAGGAAACAACTGACATCAAACTGTTGTATTCTTCTTTCATGATGCTTTTTACTATAGCTTTTTACAGTCATTGTTTGTTTTGGGGGGTTTCTACCCTTCAAGAGGAGAAATGCATGTTCAGTGGACTAAAGGTCTACTGATTTACCTTCCACTTTTTCCCCTGATGAAGTCCTTTGTTTTTCTGGCAGTGTTTTGGATCATTGCCCTACTGTATGATGAAGTTCCTCCTGATTGAACTGGATTTCTCTGTAAATTCACAGGCAGACTGTTTCTGTAGACGTTTGAATTCATTCTTATACTACCATCATGTATTACATCATCAATAAAGACTAGCGATCCCTTTCCAGAAGCAGCCATGCAAGCCCAAGCCATGACACTGCCTCTACTGTGCTTGACTGATGATCTTGTATGTTTTGGATCATGAACAGATCCTTTCTTTCTCCACATTTGGACATTTTCATTACTTTGGTAGAGATTAAGCTTGTGCTGCATGAACTGTTACAGACTTCTACAAAAATAGTAACGAGTGGGATGGCTCACAGCAGAAAACAGGCAGCATGCTTAACAGAGCAGCGGGCAGTGGAGACACACAGAGCTAGGCCAGCAGAACACATGAAAGGAAATGCTAATGTAAGTAAAGCTGGCAGAAATGAGCAATGAGTCTGCATTAAAGCTAATCCCAAACGCTGTGCTATATATAGCGCTGTAGTCTCATCCTGCATTCCTGCTAACACAGCGCATCATGCTAAAGTTAATGCTAATGCTATAGTTGCTGCTGAGAAACCACCGCACAAAGCTAGAGCTGAATATCAGTAATAGTCACTCCATTTGCAGAACAGATTTGACCCACTGCAAGGCCTCAGTGAGTCTCATAAATATAATACAGTAAACATAATGTAGAAAGAAATAGAAGTGTCAACTGGTCCCAGCACAGCCAGAGCAGACACCTTTGTTTTTGAGGACACTCTGTTAATGGCCTAAAAAAACAGAAACCCATTGTTTGATGTGAGCCAAACATCACAGTCTCTAAACTGAATGAAACCTTCCTACATTACTGGCCGAATACACAACAGTGAAGCGGATCATTGTTAATGTATGCAAGAATGGCACAAGGAAAAAGGAGTCTGAAGCATTAAAAGGTGATTTTAATGATGTCTTTAACACACTCAGGAAGCTCAATGTGCAGTCATTTATCAGTGGCCCTCTGCCTGCAGAGAGAAGCAAAATGTTCTCAAGACTACTTGGATTAAACAACTGGCTATGTAAAAAATGCAGGACAAACAGACTGAACTTTATTGACATTTTTAACCTGTTTTTTAGGAAGAGAGATTTTTTAGGCAAGATGGACTGCACATCAACAAGAGCAGAGACAAATCTCTGACAGAGAACCTCATTTTCTTCATGTGCAACCTATCCATCCCATTGTTGGAGACCCATCAGTACTAACATCCAATGGTGCTGTCATCACTCCAGAGCCACAACATCCTCCCCCCACTTCACTATCTGTCAGCCAGCCCTCAGGTTCAGCCAAAAATTAGCCCAGTTTCTTCTCCACCCTTAGCTACTGCTACCATGACCCAACAACCCTCCTCCTCCCATCAGAATCACCAATCAAGGAGTTAGTTAAAGATGTCAAGCTGAAGCTCAGCCAAATTGGTGAACTATTAAACAGAGCTGGCAAGAAAGGAGGAGATGTAACTGCTGTATTTGATCATTCTTCCCAATGCAAGCAGTTATCACTGGGTGATTTCACATCCTTTGAGTATCTTTGTGCAGTTCTGAAAAGGGACACCAAGAATGTATCTAGTAATTGTTTACAGGCCTCTGAAGTACAATGCTAATTTTATTGATGAATTTGCAGATCTTTTATTTCCACTGATTTTGATTATTTTGTTATTGCTGGTGATTTAACTTACATATTCACAACTCCAATGACAATTATGCCAAGGAACTCTGTGCTATATTGGACTCTTGGACTCTTAGCATGCCATGGTCTGTCATGGCCACACTCTGGATGTGGTCATCTCAAATGGTCTCAACATATCAGCCACAGCTACGCTTTTCATGAGCAAAATGTGATGTGCACCATGCAAACCATCTGACTCTGCTGATGCTTTGCTGGAGAGCTTCAACTCAAAAACTGTCAGTGTTATGGATGAGAAGCACCAGTTAAAGCTAAAAGAGTATCATGCCAGCAGAAAGCACCTTAGAGGAATGCTGCTGCAGTTTAACTCCAAAAGAAAGAATGTTGGAAGGCTGTATGCAGATGATGTAAAACCAAGATTCAGATCCACAAAGAAATCTCCAAATATAGGCTGCGTGATTACAGCACAAAAATGTGCTAGACAATTATTTTTTTTCCAGCATTTTCAATAAGAATATTAACAACAGCAGAACATGCTTCACCATGGGTGATCAACTGAGCAATGTAATGAGTTTGCTACCTTTTTAACACTAAAATCCTTAATATCAGAAAGAACATTAGTACATCCATATCCACCAACTAGCCCTTGTCCTCTTTATCACCATGTGAAAATATTGTGGTTAAAATGTCCTAATTTATTGCTAACAATAATGACTGCCCTGCCCTGAAGATCTGCGAGAAAGACGTGCATTGAGTCTATAGGAAACAAAAAGTGAGGAAAGCGCCAGGACCAGATAGTGTATCACCCTCCTGTCTGAGGGCCTGCGCCGACCAGCTTGCACCTGTTTTCACAACGATCTACAACAAATCACTGGAGCTGTGTGTCGTACCTTCCTGTTTCAAACGCTCCACCATAATACCAGTTCCCAAGAAAGCAACCATCACAAGATTGAACAACTACAGACCTGGTGCTTTGATCTTTGTAGTCATGAAATCCTTTGAGAGACTGGTGCTCACCCATCTGAAGAACATCACAGATCCTCTGCTAGACCCCCTGCAGTTTGCATACCAGGCAAACAGGTCGGTGGACGACGCAGTGAACATGGGACTCCATCTTATTCTCCAACAGCTTGAACACCCAGGAACTTATGCTAGAATTCTGTTCTTGCACTTCAGTTCTGCCTTTAATACAATCATCCTAGGACAGCTACACAACAAACTGCTCCAACTCAGCGTGCCAACTCCCACCTGCCAGTGGATCACCAGCTTCCTCACTGGCAGAAAGCAGCAGGTGAGTTTGGGAAAGTTCACCTCAAAAACCCAGATCATCAGTACGGGCGCTCCACAGGGTTGTGTTCTCCTCCCTTTGCTCTTCTCACTGTACACTAACAACTGTACCTCCGCTGATCCCTCAAGTCAAAATCTTGAAATATGCAGATGACACTACAGTCATTGGTTTCATCCGAGATGGTGACAGGTCTGCTTACACATGGGTGGTCCTTTGGAGCAGCGACAACAACCTGATGCTAAATACAGTGAAAACAGTGGAGATGACTGGACTTTAGGAGGAGCCCTCTGACCCTGCCAGCACTCACCATCCTGGACAGAACTGCAGTAGAGTCCTGCAAGTTCCTGGGCACAACAATCACCAGGGGCCTGAAGTGGGACAGCAACATCAGCTCCATCATCAAGAGAGCCCAGCAGAGGATATACTTTCTACATCAGCTGAGGAAGTTCAACCTGCCCCAGGAGCTGATTGTGTGGTTCTACAGGCCATCATAGAGTTCATCATCACCATATCCATCACTGTGTGGCACAAGCATGACCACCACAGACTGCAGCGCATCATCAGGTCTGCAGAGAGGACAATTGGGGTTAAGTTGCCCACATTGCTGGAACTGCATGCCTCCAGAACAAGGAAGCATGCAGAGAAAATCTCCACCAACTCATCACATCCTGGACACCACCTGTTCCAGCTCCTTTCCTCAGGCCGGCGCTTCAGCCAAATGAGGATCAGGACATCCAGGCTACAGAGAAGCTTCTTCCCACAAGCCACCACTCTCTTGAACAATTAAAATATTACACATAAACAATACTCCAACTTCTAAACTGCACTTTTAAATATACTGGTATATAGTATCACACTCAACATTCCATCCTTTGAAACTGGCATCTCAGACCAGTGTTTATTCTAGCATTTTACTTACCTGCCATATTACCCCACCGATCTGTCACCTCACTGATCCCTTTCTTTGCCACCATACACCCTTTAACTGCTGCTGCATTCAGCACTTTCACTTAAGACACATACTTTACACAATGTAAGGTTTACAGGTATGACTGTATGTGTGTGTGTGTGTGTGTGTGTGTGTGTGTGTGTGTATGAGTGAGTGATGGTAGCAATGCATGTTTTATTTTATTTTATTTTATTTACGACATTTAAATGTTTATCTGATACTGTGCACTGTGAGCTAAAAACTGCAATTGCGAAGCCTCTCTTAAAAAGATTTCCTTTAATACCACTGACCATAAAATTCTTATAGACTTGAGAACTGGGTTGGTCTCTCAGGAACTAAAGTGGTTCACTTCATACCTGCAAGGAATGGACTACTTTGTCAAAATAGAAAATAATGTTTCTGAGAGAGTGCCAGTGACCTGTGCTGTCTCCCAGGGTTCAATTCTTCAGACAGTCTTTATGTAATTTACACATGCTGCCTCTTGGCTAAGTAAGTACAAGACTATGGGATATCTTACCACAGCTATGCAGATGATACTCAGATCTACTTGGCCCTCTCCACAAACAACTATGGTCCCCTTGACTCACTTTGTAAGTGAGCTCATCACTGACTGCATAGGACAAAACTTTCTACTATTGAATAAAGTTGAAACAGATTACTATATTTGGGAATAGCAAAGAGAGAGAGAGAGAGAGAGAGAGAGAGAGACAGAGTCAGTATCTCACTGTAGTTTCTCCAGTGTGCACTGTGGATCCTCCAGTAGACCAGAAAGCAGCTTCACTCCAGACTCTCCTGGGTGATTATAAGTCAAATCCAGTTCTCTTAGATGGTAGGGGTTTAATTTCAGAGCTGAAGCCAAAGAAGAATAGCCTTCATCTGTAACCATGCAACCAGACAATCTACAGATAGGAAGGAAAGGGTGGGACAGATTACATTTACATACAGCAAAAAACAACTACGTTTGAAAAATCAAATTTCTTAAAATAGACATTTTTACATCTGGTGTGCTTTTGATTTGTGTTTGTGTCTAGTCTTGTATTTTCAGTTACCCTGCAGTTGCAATGTCTATAGATCACTGGTACCTGCTGGGAAGACCTAGCCATACACCTCTCTCAACCTCTCTCTCTTTCATCAATAAGTCACCATTACTTTTTGCTTTGTCCAAGATTTTGTAATTATTTAGAAAAAAAAAAACATGTTTTCTAAATTTGTAAATGTAGTGTTCTGACTCTTATGTTGTTTCATTTGAGGTGAGGTTGTAAAAACATCAATCAGGATGGAGAATGCAAAATAACTAAACTGACAAACAGATTCACAGTACTATGTAAAGAGCTTTTTGTGAAAACAAAACACCCATTTAGATGTGTAAATGTGTGTTTGTGTGTGTATTAGTATCCTGTATGAGTATCTTAGTATATAAAAACAGCATTGCATATTTTTCAAAATACTTTCTAGTCCAATCTCTTCCCTTGGGTGATCAAATGGTGTCAGAGGTGGATTTGGCCAAGCCAAACACTTACCATGCTTAATAGACCTTAACATTTAAGATTTAATTCACAGAAAGTTCACCTGAGTGTCTCCAGTTTACAGTGTGAACTCATCAGTCCAGCAGAGAGCAGCTCCACTTCGGAATCCTGCAGGTCATTGTGACTGAGATCTAGCTCTTTTAGGGAAGAGTTTACTGATTGTAGAGCAGATGCTAGATGTTCACAGGCCTTTTCTTCCATACACATGGTTAGTCTATGAAGGGACACAAGTTACAGAAGATACTATCAGAAAACGAAACATAGTAAAAAAAAAAAAAAAAACTAAGGGTATGTCCTCTCACATTTGTGACATAAATCTGCATTTTATCACCTTGCCTTTATTTCTAGCAGGATTGATTACTGTAATGTTACATATTTAGCAGGAAGAGGAGCTGTGTACCCCTCTCCAAGTCCAAAGTTAGGCTACCTTATGACATTTAATTTTCATAATCTTAAACACATTTTGATCTGATCTTACATACTTAAAATTTGTTTCAAAGCCAAATGTAAATAGCAAAGTTGACATTTATGTATAAATGGCATCACATGACTTGTTTTATTCCATTCAGGAACAAATTCACTGAAAGCTCACCTGAGTGTTTCCAGTTTGCAGTGTGAACTCTTCAGTCCAGCAGAGAGCAGCTTCACTCCTGAATCATGCAGATCATTGTAACTGAGGTCCAGCTCTTTCAGTGGGGAGTTTACTGATTGTAGAACTGATCCCAGATTTTCATAAGCCTTTGCTCCAAGGTTACAGATAGCTAGTCTGCAAAAGGTGAGAAATTACAAGAGATCTTATAGTATACTCAAATAAACATTTCTGAATGATATAAGAAGAAAAAATATATCACATTGTTCAAACAAGAAACAACAAAATCCCATTTAATAGTGGTATAGTTAGAGTAAAAGATAAAAAAAATTATAAAACACCAGAAAAATATTATAAATTCTCAGCTTAATTTTTATCAAGACAAGAATGAAGTCAATAAAATGTTTACCTGAGTATCTCCAATTTACAGTGTGGACTCTTCAGCCCAGCAGAAAGCATCTCCACCCCTGAATCCTGCAGGCCATTGCAACTGAGGTCCAGATATTTCAGGGTGGAGTTTATTGATTGTAATGCTGATCCTAGATTTTCACAGGCTTTATTTCCAATATCACAGACAGTTAGTCTGCAAAGGGAGAGAAATTACAACATATCTCAGAGTATTCTAAAAAAAAATCTAATTAAAATAAATAATTGTCTAAACAACATTATGTAACAATTATTTGTATATTTTCATATTACTAAATTAGGTTACATACACTAGAATTATAAAATTCTAGTGTAGCACTATTAGAGTGTCAAGTTAACAGTTCAGTATGGTTTTCCAACTTTTTCCATTCAGGAATTAAATCACAGAAATTTCACCTGAGTATTTCCAGTTTACAGTGTGAACTCTTCAGTCCAGCAGAGAGCAGCTTCACTCCTGCGTCCTGCAGGTCATTGTTACTGAGGTCTAGCTCTTTCAGTGAGGAGTTTACTGATTGTAGAGCGGATGCTAGCTTTTTACAGTCCTTTTCTCCTAAATTACAGACAGTTAGCCTGGAAAGAAACATAAATGATTATGTAAATTACAATATACTAAAGAATTTCTTAATACTAAATTAAATAATAAAGAAGTGTATCAGTGTAATCTGTAGGTAGTTAGCATAGGCTTTTCAACAGCATAGGCACATAATGCTTTATTAGCAGGGGAGAATGAATGTTTTTGAGTATCACTTGGCAATGTGGAAGTAGTTTGTTTAGTTCAGTTAAGATTGGATGCTCCTTGTGTGCAAGCCTAACTTGTCCTATTAAATTAGGCCTTGTGTTGGATCAGGATTTATTATATATAAGTGTGCAGCTTTTTTGTTGGACTATTTTTAAATTAGCTCAGACAGGTCCTACTCTCTCACACATATACCAAAGACTACCAATTGAATAGTATTGAGTGTGGAATAGATGAATATAGTTGATGTTCACAGTGTCAGAATTTAGCATTTTTAGTTTTTTGTTGAGATATTCACTTTATTATTGGAGCAAAGTGGGCAGAAATTCTCTCAGTGTACAAGCAGACAAGTATGATTCAGTTCAACAATCTATCCTTCTGCATATAAGATAGCTAAATGCTATCAGAAACCGAAATTTAAATCTTCTCAAAATTCCTAAATGTACCATTTATTACTAGATTACATGTTCAAACAGCATACTGCAAATTAGATAGCATTTTTATATTTCTTGGATGTGTAAAGTGAGGGATTAAGAAGAATTCTAAAAACACATGAATTGAATGACAAAACCATACAATCATACCTCATTCCCAGTCAATTCTTTGGGCACCTCTATTTTTTTCTAATTTAAATAATAGTGAAGACAGCAAAACTATGGAATACCAGATATAGAGTTATGTGATGATCAACAATTATGAACAATTTTATTGTAATTTTAATAAAGATTTAAGTTATATTTTAGATTCGTCAGTATCCTTCTTTGCTTTGATGCAGCTTTGCATACTCTTTGTGCTCTCTCAAGCAGCTTCATGAAGAGTGTCTTAGACACTTTCCTAACTAAAAATGTTCCACCTTTGCTGGACACCTTGCTGAAAATGAACTACTGTGGGATATTCTATTAAATAATGTTTTGAGGACAACTTCATATATATTCAACATCACTATTTAAAGTTGGTTTTGAAACTTTGGACTAGTAGTGCTTTTGTTGGGAAAGTGGGATTCATGTTCCTTTGGGAATGTTACAAATGTGAGGGTGCACCTCAAGTTTTTTTTTTCTTTTATTGTGCAAAGAACAATAAAAAGGTCATCATCCTGCAATGTTAACTTCAGCGACACCACTGCTCTCCCCTTTCCTTATTTTTGTTGTTTTTTAGTTTGAAAGCCTGAAACCATAAGTGAATGAGTGTTAAGTGTTCACCTAAGTATTTCTAGTTTACAATGTGAGCTCTTCAATCCAGCAGAGAGCAGCTCCACTCCTGAAACCTGCAGGTCATTGTAACTGAGGTCTAGCTCTTTCAAGGAGGATTTTTCCGATTGTAGAGCCGATCCCAGAATCTCACATGCTTTTTCTCCAAGATTGCACATAACAAGTCTGTATAAAGAGAGAAATAGCAACAGATTATACAATACTCTCAAAAAATACTTTCAAAAAGAAGAAATAATTGGTTACAGGACAGCACAAAAACATTTTTCTGTATTTTTGTGGCTGTCAAATATTACAAACATTTACAAAATGACAATTTTCATTGCATTATTTTAAATAGTTAATAATGATTAATCACACTTGTCTTATTTGCTCAAGTTTGACCTTAAAGAAAAAAGTGCATTTTGTTATGGCTATATGTGTCAGCTCCACCGGAATGTATTTATTCTTTTCAATATTTTTTTACTACTTCAAATATCAAAAATTACTTGCAAAAGATATTAATTTAACTAAGCCATTTTTATAAATTTTCATTCTGTGGTTAACTTGCATGCACCTCTGAAAAAGAATATAAAATAGGTCATGTCACTAGTTCTGTACTGAAATTTCATCAATATATAAAGCAAGGAATACCCTCAAGCCAGATGGAGTGGGATCCATGTTACTGGCTTAAATTTAGGCAACTTAGACACAAATGTTTCCTTAATTGAATAAAGTAAAATCTTACTATCTGTTTTAATATCAAAATCTTATTCAAATCCACCTAAGTCAGCTGTAACAGGGCTGACAGTATACAGTACATTGTACATTGACATGTACATTGTACAGTGACATGTACAGGAATCAACCCAGTGTGAAACAAGGGCATAACACTCACAGTGAACACAGACAGACTGAAATGCAGAGCTCAAGAATTCAAGAAAAGAAACATTTCCACAAAGAATAAATGAAGGCTGGCCCAAACTAATGGATCAGAATTGTGAAGGGAACTGAAAGAACTTAAAACACTCAAAGTCATCAGAAGGCAGATTTGAAATGCAGAATGATGCATAGCCGCACTATGGGGTGAGCTAGAGGGAGAAGGTAGACAACAGGCAGAGAGTATACCTGAAAAACTAACAAAACTAAAACCCAAAATTCAACAAAGGTGCATACAGGAAAAGACTGACTGATGGATTTGAAAGAGATCCAAATGGTAACTTAAAAAAAAATCTTGCTTTTCTAATTATGTATTGGTTTCTTTCTTTGTTTGTTGATTAGTTGGTTGGTTGTTTGCTTACAAATCAATGGATTTAGAAATGAGAAAAAAGTGAGACTTGAGAAGCTAGAGAGATCTTCAAGTCAAGTCAAGTCAAGTCAAGAGGCTTTTATTGTCTTTCCATCTATGTACACGTACACAGTGGAGTGAAATTACGATCCTCCAGGAACAACACGGTGCAACATGGAACAAAAGAGTACAAAGTGCAAATGTGCAGATGTAAGTACACAAAACATTAAACTAGAAACAACAAATAAATATGATAAATAAAACAGACATTAGACACAGTAAACAGACAGGACAGTACAGCACCAACACAGCACTCATTTCTGAGCATGTGGTAGTGAGAATAGGGTGCAAAGATATTTTAGCATGCTGTAATCTTTGAGTTTATGCAGTCAGATTATAACATATGTGAGCACGGCAGTTACTGAGGTAGGATATACACAGTACTTGAGTAAAACACAGTGTTAGCAGCAAAGTTCCAGTGCAAATAGAGCATCAAAAGAGGTGTGTGAGTGTGTGTGTGTGTGTTAGTGTAGAGTATGTGTGTGAGGGGGTTCCAGTTCAGTCCTTGTGAGTTTAAAAACCTGATTGCTTGAGGAACAAAGCTGTTGCAGAGTCTGGCAGTGATGGCACGGATGCTCTGGTGCCTTCTGCCAGACGGCAGCAGTGAGAAAAGTCAGTGTGAGGGATAGATGGGGTCGTTCATTATGCTGGTGGCTTTGGAATGCAGCGTGTGGTGTAGATGTCCGTGATGAAGGGGAGAGAGACCCCAATGATCCTCTCAGCTGTCCTTACTATGCACTGTAGGGTCTTGTGGTCGGAGGCGGTGCAATTCCCAAACCAGGCGATGATGCAGCTGCTCAGGATGCTCTCCACAGTCCATCTGTAGAACATGGTGAGGATGCGGGTGAGGTTTCTTCAGTCTCCACAGGAAGTAGAGGTGCTGCTGGGCTCTCTTGGCTATGAAGTTGGTGTTGAAGGACAAGATGAGGTTGTGATGTGGACACCAAGGAACTTGGTGCTCCTGACAATTTCAAGGAGCAAGTCTGGCAATAAAGAGGCTTAAGAGATAAAGACACCCAAGAGAAAACCTGAAGAAGATACTGCTTACCAGCCAGTCACATGTCAAAACTCATTTGATGCCTGATCCTAAAGAGATTTAATAAGCTTTTAAAAAACATTTCACATCTGCTGGTCATTCATTTGATAAATGTATACAGTAACTTACATAAAAACTACCAGGTACAGTGCTGTGAAAAAGTATCAGATTTCTTCTATTTTTTTTGTCACATTTAAATGTTTCAGATCGTCCAACTAATTTAAATATAAGACAAAGACAACACGTAAACAGAAAATGCAGCTTTTAAATGATCATTCCATATATTGAAGATAAATATTTATTCAAAACCTATATCACACATGCGAAAAAGTAATTGTCCCCCAGACCTAATAACTGCTTGTGCTGCCCCTTAGCAGTAACAACTGCAATCAAACATGTGTCATAACTTCTGATGAGTCTTTTACATCACTGTGGATGGGTGGACATTCTCCTTTAGGATTTTATGCTAGACAAGTCATCCAGGTCCTGCAGAAGCTGTTGACTGTTGGTATGATGTTCTAATGATGTGTTTGGACAGTAGTGGTTTGTGCCTTGCCACTCTCCCATGGATGCCCAGTATCTTTCTTATTCTGGAATGGTGTACATTGACCTTAATTGAGGCAAGTGAGGCCTGCAGTTCTTTAGATTTTAGTCTGGGTTCTTTTGTTGCCTCCTGAATGAGTCGACAATGTGCTCCTGGGAAGGTTCACCACTGTTCCAAGTTCTCTCTATTTGCAGATAATGGCTCTCATTGTGGTTCGCTGGAGTCCCAGAGCCTTAGCAAGGGCTTTGTAACTTTTTCCAAACTGGTAGATTTCAGTGACTTTGTTTCATCTCTACATTTGAATCTCTTCAGAATGTGGCATCGTGTGCTGCTGTTTGAGACCTTCTAGCTGCTTCACACTGCCAGACAGGTTCTATTTAAATGATGTTTAGATTCAACAGGCCTGGCAGTGATCATGTCTGGGTGTGGCCAGCGAAACTGAACCCAATAGTCAATTGAATTTAGTTAACTATTTGACTTAGTAGTTAAGGGGTCAGTTACTTTTCCAAATGTGGCCAGGTGGGGCTGAACAGTATTTTTCCTTCAATAAATGAAATCATCATTTAGAAACAGCATTTTATGTTTACTGGGGTTATTTTTGTCTAATATAAAAAAGTAGTGATGATTGGAAACATTCAAGTGTGACAAATATGCAAAGAAATTGGGAAGGGCACACATACTTTTTCACAGCACTGTATGTACAGCATAACTTATTTACAAGTAATTTCTGGTATATAATTTGCATGTTCTTAGAAACTTAAATGAAAAGTACTAGGAATGTAGAGCAGTACTTTCTCAGAATTTTATAGTAAGTATGTAATACTCATAAGTAATAGTTGGTGGAAAATGTGCAAGTTCAACATGTGAGAAAAAAACAGGAGTTTTCAATTTTATTTTAGCTTCCAATGATTAGAATTCCAGTAGGTACATGCAAACATGATAGAGAAGAATAGAGTAATATAGATTAAGTATCTTTGTTCCAGTACAGTAATTTTTTTCATATTAATATGATTTGTAACCTCATTTGTTAACGCTCATAGTTTTTTCTATTACCTTTAAGCTTTATCACCTGTCTGTATAGAACTTTGAGTTGTCAACAGTAAACGCACGCTACATACACAAGATTTATGGTATGCATGGCATAATCATACATAGTGTCCATAACCATAATGTTTAAGCATATATAATGTTTGTTGTAGGTTAAAACACAGCAAAGTGATGAATGGTAAGTGGTGTCTATGTTGTAGTGAAGCAAAAACAATACACAGCAGTAAGATAATAATGTATTGTGCTAAAAAGGTGAATTAGAACCCAAATTACTAGATTTTAGACTTCAATAGTGAAAAAATAACAAATATATTAAAAGTGTCTACATAGAAAATACGGAAAATGACTAAAGTACTTAAAGAAAATAAATAACACAGAACTTTTCCTTCCTCCTTAAACAGCCACATTCACCAAGTATCAGGTGGGCAAGGGCTTTCTCTTGTTGCAGGTGTCAACACAAAATTAAATTGAATAAAATAAATGTAGAAAAAACATCTAAATGGAGGATGTAATGATCCAGTGTAGATCTGGATCGTCAGTGCTTGAAGCAGCCCGAATTTCTTGAGCTGTTGCAGGATGTACAGGCACTGCTAGGCCTTCTTCATAACTGCAGTGCTGTGTCTGTCCCATTTGTGATCCTGCTGAATGGTGGTGCCCAGGAATTTGTAAGACTCTGCTCTACTGACTGTGGAGCCGTGTACTTCCAGTGGAAGCAGTGGGATGGGTTTCTTTCTGAAGCCAATAGTCATCTCCACAGGTTTTTGTGTGTTTAACTCCAGGTTGTTAGCTTCGCACTATGCCACCAGCTGTATTAAAATAGGAGTTTTAGGCATGGTTTTCCTCAAACTTCAGTTATGCTGTATTTCCATTTTGCAAATGCAGACCACACCTTGGTAAATGAGATAATGAGAGAAGGGGAAGTTTGAGGAATTTTGGGCTGGAGTTCAGTACGGCTTCTGTGGGTCACTAAAAGGCCAACCCTAAAAACTTCAGATTAGATGGAAGCCAACCATTTGTGAGCTTTGTGGAGGTCTTGGATTTGAGTTCGTATGTTGCCATGGTAAGCTTGCGAAGACCATCATCCGAGCAATTGAACAGTATGATTGGGGATTCCTGAGTAGCAGAAGAAGCTGCTCTGATTCTGAAGAAAATTGTTCTGGAGGGTAACTGGTTAATGACAGAACTAGGCGTAAGTGTTTGTGGAACTAGCAATG